AAAAAAAATACTGTAAATAGCAAATTTTAACTTTGCCCTCAGTTTATAGTACTCACTCTCAATCATCTTAGGAAAAATAACCCAAGTTTGTATTTCAGCGTTCTATATAACATAATACTGAAGAGTAGTTCGTAAATTAAAGAAAGGATAAACGATGTGACATTATTTTGCCATAATATTAGCTAGAAAATCATGAGAACTATGAAAATTAAATGCAGGCCATTATCATAACGGTGATTTTAATTTAAACACTTTTATAATTCCATATTGTCAACTAAGTAATAATGTAGATCTTGTCATATTTTTAGGTTTTGTAACCTATTACATGTAAATAGTGTTTAATAATAAATCTATTAAGTAATATATTTAATAATATTAAATGACAAGCACAGAGATTTTACCTTTAGGGACTAGTTCTCAATATAGCAAACATACTCATAATTTAATCATTCGTTCCACATACAAAGAATTACGGTAATTTCTTTCATTTCTGGTACACATAAAACACATTTTCGCTTTTCAACCATAAAAAAGTTAATGCAAAACTTTCTGTAAATTGACAATAATCATATCTATACCTAGAAATTTCTAATGCCCACTTTTATTTAATTAATGAAAAGAATTTAAGAACAAAACTAGAGTTTTCATTTTCAAAAATGAGATCATATCAGCTCAGTACTCTGCTGACATTTCAATACTTGGGATTTTTTTTTAAAGCTGACAAACTCTAGCCACAATAGTAAAAAAAGAAAACTGTAAATACACCATTTCCAATAGAATTCAAAGTTTTACCTTTCAAGGCAGCAGCAGAGCAGCAGACCCTAGATTTTTTTCTCCAGAAAAATAACTTCAAGCAAGCAGTTGCTGTGGGTAGCTGGCTGATTCAGTGTAATAAACATTCATGTAAGAATCCCTTTTCTCGAGGGATTCCCATTGAAATCCTACATGCGAGACACTTCAAAGTCCTTTTTAGTTCCTTCAAAACTAATTTGAGGCAGAATTGTTTTAAAAAAAAATCTTCTGTGTTTTATTTGGAAATTACTTTTTTCCTTCCTTTCTCCGTGATTACGGAACTGTACAGAATCCAGACTTGGGCCTGTTGGAATGAGAGAGCTACATTTGTAAACTGCTTCCAGATGTGGTGAATAAGGCAGCTGCAGAACTGGGTGAACTTTCCTCCTCCCACCCTAGTTATTCTTCATCAGAAAGAAAATTCCAGAGACGCAAGGAAAAAGATTTTAGGAACAGCTCAAGATTAGATTTCTTTGAATGTCGTGTATATTCCGGATCATCGTGAACAAAGAAGCATCTATAAAGTTACAAGCATGAAAAATGAGTAACTGTAGAAACCTGCTTTTATCTAAAATAATAACCTCAGTCTGTGTTTGCATTAAGAAAGTAATTACAGATTCTTTATCTTTTAAAAGATACGGTACAATATTCACCCTATAATGTTAAAACATAGTTGCAGAAAAGTCATACAGAATATATTTTAGCTCTGCACTGTGGATATTTCAAGAGGAAATTAAAGCTGAGAGCAGACCTACAATCTATCATCAATGGGAAACTCTCAGGGGCACCTATGGGGGAGGAGGTGTGTCAGTCCAGGCCCCTTTTTACACATGTCACATGATGCAGCTAAAAAAAGAGATTTAAACATACAATCACAACTACCATTTTGACTTTTTTATTTCCCCCCATGCAGATGCTTCACGTCTCTTAGATCAGTGATGGCGAACCTTTTAGAGACCGAGTGCCCAAACTCCAACCCAAAACCCACTTATGCATCGTTGGGTGCCGGGTGGGTGTGGCCCATTGGCTGGGTGTGGCC